GCATCAGAAAGGTACTATGCAACTACAAACACATCTTTAATAATGGTTTGAGGGGGTGCTGCCATTAGGGTAGCAAATTGCTTAACAATGACGCCAATATTTTCTTGGTGAAACTTTACAGCTTCTTGACTGGGAAACAAAGCTTCCACACTAAACACTTGTTTCTCTTCATCAAAAATAGCACACCAACTCGTAGGGCCATTTTTATTTTTAAACGCTGCGACCTTTTGTGCACATTCGATCAACAACTGGCGTGTTTGATCAATTTTATCTTTTTGTGGCGTAAGGGTAACGTGGTGGTATTGGGTTGTTAACATTTTTGAGCTTTCTATTTATGTTGGAATAACGAGGTCGTGAACCAAGGAGGTCAGTGTCTGAGCCAATGTACTCAGCAACATTTAAACTAAAAATATCAACATGTTGGAAGTTGTGTTAATTTTGGCAATTTAAAAGCCATTGGGGAAAATTCAGAATCATATCCGGAATATGGTATGGGCTTGATTGTCCCACTACACCCCAAGGCAAACATTAGGTCTTTGGGGTGTTTTTTCTACCAATCGTTTAATAAATACCAGGAATCACCTTGTATGGCACCAATTTACGATATTCCTTCCAATACTCACCATATTTGAGCGCACACTTCACATCATCTCGATGCGCACGGTGGAATAGCAAAATCGCTAAGAAAGTGACATAGAAAAATGGCATAAAATGACTAAACCCTGTCGCACAACTCCATAAAAATGCTGCTGATAATTCTGGGATATAGTGAAAATGACGTGCGATACCCCAAAACCCTGATGCTAATAACAAGTTTTCTTTCACGACTCCTGTGTCAGTTGTATATTTGGCTTTAATCACCACGGGAGGCTTGCCAAATACGGCGCAATCGCCGTTGGTTGCTCTGACAACTTGGCGTTGACGATCAGCCCAAAAATTAACAAAAATTGCGGTAATGCCAGCCAAGAAAATAAATAAAGCTAAAGCCGTAGGCAATTCTACAGGGTGTTTGACCATATACATGACCGGCAACGTATAAACGCAAGGAACCCATACTAAACACCCCCAACAAATGTAAAAACCTGCGCGGTCAACAATAATATCAATCGAGCGCATATAACCCGATTCCCAAATAAAGAATTTAAACAAATAGATAACGATGAGTGCTGCCGATAACATAATCGAATTGGTCATTTCACCGTAAATTTCTTTTTGAGCAAAAGCGTAAGAAATCACCATGAGTGCCCAACCTGTCATACCAAAACGACAATTGGTAAACATTTTGACATCCCAACCCAAAATTCGCGGGTATAACTCAGTACCCCAGTAATAGTCCATCAAAAAACGACCTGTTGAACCGCTATCGGTCGATGAAGGAAAGTGTTTACCCTTAAAATACAAAAACAAACAAAAAATCAAGGCTGTAATGTTTAAGGCCCCTAAAATATCCCCTAAGTTATGGTAGACAATACCAGGGCTAAACCACTTTAAGCCCACCGAAGCGATGAAAAATAGAGCAATTGAAATCACATACGATGAAACACCATTATCCTTATATTGCGGCGTATTTCCCATCGCTGTTAATGTACCTTCGTACGGCTTCCCTGGTAACACCTTCATGAGTATAAGTTGTACCACAGCATGTACGCCAATCACTGCCCAAGCCACTTTTGAACCCCAAAAATGTGGTGCCCAGATTTCCCAAATCGTCTTAAAAAAACCATTTGTCCATAACAGCTTACCCAGATTGACGAACGAGCCATCTAAACTGTCACAGGTATACCACAACAACATCACCATCGGTGGACAACACACAATTAAAAATAAGGGCATAATCAAATACAAAGGACTTTGTTGTCCGTGTGTTAATTTCACCTTCTGCGTGACGACTTCAGCCATAAAACTTCTCCATCTTCCATTTATTGGTTAATTAATCATACAAGTCATACCCTTTTGAGGCATTTCTTCTCCGTTTCTATTGCACTATTGCAGACGCACTAAACAGCTTTTGCTAAGTACGTAATTGACGATATGCATGTACCGCCATTAGCGGTGGCACAAAAAACCAAAGGCCCGCACACAACACAATCATCAGCCAACTTGATGGTGGCATATGAGAATAATACTCGTTCCACATCCAAGACAAATTATTGCAGGTGACAAAACCACCGTAAAATAAAATCAAAGGATAATTTGGTCTATTTTGAAAGTATGAATATCCAATCAGTCCAGCTAAAGGAACCATCACAAATCCACTCAGAATGGCAACGACTTTTACATAGAAAGGTTGAGCAACGTATAGTGGATCCCATCGACCATAAATATCGGTTAATACCTTAAACGGTGCAAACCAATGGTGCGCATCAAGACCAATTAAAAAATCAAAAAGGTGACCTAACACTAAAACTATGCATACATAACCCATCAATCGGTTTTTTTGAAAGTTATCCATCTGGCTCCCCCTACTTGACCATCGAAAAACGTGATCATATACGATATTTTGATTTCATATTTTTATTAACAAGATCAACGTGTACTGATCAACTACCCCAATGCAGTATTTACAACCATCAGTATATTTTTGTTAACGGTATTATTTCACTTGGGCATCCATCATCAAAGATAAATGCAAAAACGACAACGAAGGTATTGCTCATGAAAGACAAGTAGGCGTGACAAAATGTACGTTTGATTGCCAAAATGTCATTGTCAGCTCATGCATGTCAAAAGCATATACGACATTTTCATCAAAGAGGGGGCATCGTATCACAAAACCATGATAGCAAAGTTTATTTTACAAACATTACTATCAGCTGCGTTATAGGGAACGAAACGCTTAAAACTGCGTTACAATACGGTGCACGGCTGTGTGTTTTTTGCATACGCATATATTATTATTGAGTATTGATTATGGATTTCATTAAAGTTGGCATCGTTGGTGGCACTGGTTATACAGGCAGCGAACTTATTCGAATTTTGGTAAATCACCCGCATGCAAAAATCCATGCGATCACTTCACGGAAAGAAAAGGATATCCCTGTTTGGGAACTTTTTCCTTCCTTGCGTAGCGTGTCTGATTTAACTTTTTCCACACCAGAAGATGCCAACTTAAACGATTGCGATGTAGTTTTTTTTGCCACGCCACATGGTGTGGCCATGGAACAAGCACCCGCCTTACTCCAAAATGGCGTTAAAGTCATTGATTTGGCAGCTGATTTCCGCATAAAAGACCCAGCTCTTTTCGAAAAGTGGTACAAAATGCCACATTGTGAACAGGCTTTGTTAAATGAGGCCGTATACGGCTTGGTCGAGATTAACCGTCAAGCGATCAAAAAAGCACGTTTAATTGGTTTAGCAGGATGTTACCCAACCGCGGTTCAATTAGGTTTTGCCCCCTTACTTCATCTTGCCAAAACAGCACAATCTCCTATCAAACTTGATAGTTTGATTGCCGATTGCAAATCAGGTGTATCTGGCGCAGGGCGTAAAGCTGAAATATCATCGTTGTTTGTCGAAGCGGCAGAAAACTTTAAAGCCTATGGCGTTGCAGGACACCGCCATCTCCCCGAGATTATTCAGGGTTTGGAGGCAATCGCTGGGCAAAAAGTCGGTTTAACCTTTGTTCCTCACCTAGTACCTATGATGCGAGGAATACAAGCATCGCTATATGCTCCTCTTCTAGATTATGGCAAAACCATTGACTATCAAAAACTTTTTGAAGATTTTTACAAGGATAGCCCTTTTGTCGATGTTATGCCGGCAGGATCATCACCCGAAACCAAAAGTGTCAGAGGTTCTAACCAACTTCGCATCGCTGTTCACCGTCCCCAAAATGCTGACATGCTCGTTGTACTCGTCGTTGAAGACAATCTCGTCAAAGGTGCTTCTGGGCAGGGCGTACAATGCATGAACCTGATGTTTGGCTTAGATGAAACGACAGGCCTACAATTGATCCCGTTAGCTCCTTAACCTGCCTTTGGCTGATGACTTGCAGATAAATAATGGCTCGTAAAAACACAAAAAATTTTGAAGATCGATTTTCTTTTAATCCCGAACCTGGCAACAATGTTGGCTTGGTCATGGTTTTTGGTATTTTGATTATTTGTATCGCTTGTTTAGGCGCAGGCTATTGGTTAGGTGGCGGGTTAAATGATAGTAGTCCAAATAACCGTATGCGTCTCTTTAGTGAGAACTTGCGGCTTAAGGCTTTAATTGAACGCTACAAAAAAGATATCGTGTCATTAGAATCAAAAATTCAGGTTGATCGCGAAACCAATAAATCGATTTTAAAACAAATGGATATTGTTCAAAGCGAGAATACCCAGCTTAAAGAAGATTTGGCCTTTTTCGACAGTCTTTTGCCAGCCGATACGGCACAAAGAGGCATTTATTTCCGCAGTGTTAGTCTCAAACCTGTTGCAGGCAGCGACAAACATCATTTGCGAGTTTTGATCATGCAATCAGGTTCTAAAGCCTTTCAAAACCTCAATGAGTTTTCTGGGAACCTCAAATTTACAATTACTTACACCTTAAACGGTACCACACAAACCCTACTTTTCCCCAATGAAACCACGGCTAACCTCGGTATTTTTGACTTAAAATTTAAATACTACAAACGAATTGATGTAAACTTCTCTTTGCCAACAGGTGCAATACCACGTAAAATTGAGTTTACCGTCATGCAAGGCAATACGATCGTTACGTCCCACGCCACAACATTGTAATCAAGACTTTCGATTTATTAACCACTCTTTAAACCGACAAAAGGAGCATCATGTTTTCATCAAAATCAAAAAACACCAATAATAGTAACGCACCGGTCAAAGAAAAAGTGGTAAAGCGTGATATGACCATTGAGTGTTTGTTGTCGGCTCGTGCGGTTCTTGAGGGCGATTTAACGTTTGAAGGTGGCTTGCGAGTTGATGCAACGGTCAAAGGCAATATTACAGGTGTTGAAAATCAACCAAGTATGGTGGTCGTTTCTGAGCAAGGTAGTGTTAATGGACAGGTGCGTGCTTCACACATTGTCATTAACGGTACTGTCAAAGGCCCAGTATATGCAACTGACCTGCTTGAATTACAAAGCCGAGCAAGAGTTTATGGCGATATTCATTATGCCGCCTTAGAAATGAGTCAAGGTGCAGTTGTAGAAGGCAGTTTGCATCATATGAGTGATCAAGCCGTTGCCGACGGCATCAATGAATTTCCGACCATTTCCGTTGAATCTTGAGTCGAAACGAAGACAACACAACCAGCGCTTTATATTAAACCAACAACAAATCAATTGGTTAAATATCTTTTTGAGGTTCCTGACAAGCAAGCACAAAAAGACTCTTTGTGCTGCTTGCCTGCGAGAAATCGGAATCACTCAAACATATCCTTATCAGCAGTGAGCACATTATGCCAAGAGTTTGTAACTTAAACTAAAAGAGCTATAATGTAAGCATAGTTAAATTTCATAACCAACGTTGTTTTGTGCTCATCAGCCACCATATGGTTCAGGAAGTGTGATCAAAAATTGGAAAATGTCGTTCAATGAAGTTTGATGGCACATCCCAAAAATTGGCGCACAGCAATCGATGTTCATCCCGAAATCAACAAGTGCTGCTCAACATTGAAATGAGTCGTAAAGCTACAATCCGTGTTTTCTAAGTATTTAATTGGAGTATACAATGCAAAACAATCCAGACCAAACTAGCGTACTCGAAGAAGTCATGCCCTTTAATTTTACCGATGCGGCATGTAACAAAGTCGCTGAGCTCATCAAAGAAGAAGGTAATAACGATTTGAAGTTACGTGTTTTTGTCCAAGGTGGTGGCTGCTCAGGGTTTCAGTACGGATTTACCTTTGATGAAGTTGTTAATGATGATGACACCGTCATTACCAAAAATGACGTAACACTTTTAATTGATTCAATGAGTTATCAATATTTGGTTGATGCTGAAATTGACTATAAAGATGATATTAACGGCTCACAGTTTGTCATTCGCAACCCCAATGCCACGACGACTTGTGGGTGTGGTTCATCATTCTCCATTTAAACAACTATGCGCACAACAAAAACATGGCGACGCCTACTTAAAACATTGTTGGGATTATTGTTAGTTTTTCTTGTGCCAAGCCTTTTGGTAAACTTTGATTATATTGGCCGCATTTACAGTAGTGTCAAAGTGATCCCTGACTCGCCGTGGGCTGTTGTGATGGGAGCAAGTGTATACGGTCCAGACAAACCAAGCCCCGTATTACAACAAAGATTAAATGCCGCCGTCAAACTCTATCAGGCTCAAAAGGTGAGTCAATTTATCGTGTCGGGTGACAATCAAAACCAAAAAGAAGCCGATGAAATGGCTAAATACCTTATTCATGAAGGTGTCCCAGCTCATCTTATTAAAATTGATCGACAAGCCAATAGCACATTACTCACCTGTGAACACCTTAAAAATTTTCGTATAGAACAAAGTATCATCATCAGCCAATCCTTTCATCTACCACGCACATTGATGTTTTGCGAACGTATGGGTCTTAACGTCACAGGATTAGCGGCAGAAAAAGTTGCTCCCGTTCCTAACCAACTTGATAGATGGCAAACTTTCCAAATCCGTGCTGGTCGTTTTTTTCGAGAAACAGCCCTGATGTGGGCATACTGGCTCCATATTTATCGATAGTTTTTTAAATCTCCATTGACGATATCAATTTCATTGTATGTTGGAGTCCTATGTAAGGCAGAACCGCGAGGATATTGCTCATATTAAACTTGATGAGGTATCACTCAACACGTTTGACCCGACATGGCAATCTTCCAAAGCGTTTGATACACCATTGGCATCATTTTCTCGATAAAAAACTCCGTCGCCCGTTAGATTTTTTAAAAAAATCCGTTATACTATGTCTTATCTCTTGACTAAAACCTATTTTTATGACCACAAACACTTATCCTTTGACAAACAAGATGATTTCTTCATCTTGTGGGATGTGGTTGTCGATGAAATGGGCATCGCTGTCGTTATCACTGCGCTAAGCGCAGTATCTTTCATTCCCCCTTCGTCTATTCGTTTTTGGTTTGCTTTGATTTTCATCAGAGGCAAATCATCATTTTTTCCCTTACAATACTAGGCTGCTCAGCTTCTGATGCAAGCCATTAAGGATTCATATTATGTCAAGCAACATCCATACTTTACCTGACCGTCTCATCATATTTGATACAACATTGCGTGATGGCGAACAGTCGCCTGGTGCATCGATGACCAAAGACGAAAAAATGCGTATTGCCAAACAGTTAGAACGTTTACGAGTTGATGTCATCGAAGCAGGCTTTGCCGCTGCGTCTAATGGTGATTTTGATGCAATTCAAAGCATTGCCCAAGCAATCAAAGACAGTACAGTCTGTTCACTTGCTAGAGCTAATGAGTTTGATATTACGCGTTCCGCCGATGCATTAAAACCCGCAAACCACAATCGAATCCATACTTTTATCGCAACGTCTAACTTACACATGGAGAAAAAACTCCGTATGACACCAGATGAAGTTTTTGAGCAAGCCAAAAAATCGGTTCGCTTGGCGCGTAGCTTGGTTGCGGAAGTTGAATTTTCAGCAGAAGATGCCAGTCGTTCAGATATGGATTTTCTATGCCGCGTGATTGAAGCGGTGATTGATGAAGGGGCAAGCACCATTAATATTCCTGATACGGTCGGTTATGCTGTACCAGAACAATATGCTCATCTCATCAAAACATTGCGTGAACGCATTCCCAATTCTGACAAAGCCATTTGGAGCGTCCATTGTCACAATGATTTAGGCATGGGCGTGGCTAATTCGTTGGCAGCGGTCAAATTAGGGGGCGCACGTCAAATTGAGTGTACCATCAACGGGTTAGGCGAAAGAGCAGGCAATACATCACTTGAAGAAGTGGTCATGGCTATTAAGACACGCCAAGATTATTTTAACGTCAATATTGGCATCGATACAACACAGATTGTCCCTAGTTCTAAACTCGTGTCACAAATTACGGGTTTTGTTGTTCAGCCCAACAAAGCCATTGTCGGTGCTAATGCATTTGCCCACGCCTCTGGTATTCATCAAGATGGCGTTTTAAAAGCACGTGATACCTACGAAATTATGCGCGCAGAGGATGTCGGCTGGAGTGCCAATAAAATCGTCCTTGGTAAGTTGTCAGGTAGGAATGCCTTTAAACTTAGAACACAAGAACTTGGCATTGATTTGGCCAGCGAATCGGCCTTAAATGAGGCTTTTGTGCGTTTTAAAGACTTGGCCGATAAAAAAGCAGAAATTTATGATGAAGATATCATGGCACTTTTTTCTGACGCCCAAGAAGCGAGTCAATTTTATCAGTTTGTCTCTTTATCTCAACACTCTGAAACAGGTGAACAACCCAACGCAACCGTTACGATTAGCGAAGATGGTCAGGAAATTACCTCAGAAGCAAATGGCAATGGTCCAGTTGATGCAGCCATGAATGCGATTGAAAAACATGTTCAAAGTAAAGCGGAGCTTGTCTTATATTCGGTCAATGCTATTACGACTGGGACCCAATCGCAAGGTGAAGTTACCGTGCGGCTAGCCAAAGGGGGTCGAGTCGTTAATGGTGTTGGTACTGACCCAGATATTGTTGCGGCATCCGCTAAAGCTTACTTAGCTGCGCTAAATAAACTCCACACTGAAACCGAAAAAGTTAGTGCGCAAGGCGTTTAGCTGCTAGTGTATGCCCCACTAAAAACATTGATCCATTTCGATGACCAACAGGTCAAGTTTTTCGCAACCTGCACAATCTGTCTTTTTTCAGGTTACCGCTCAATCAAATGAGCCACATTTGGGTTTTATGACGAACTCATCAGCAAAAACAAAAGCCATTTATGGCTTTTTGTTACCAATAAAATTCAGTCCTAGCATCACGAGGCAAATAGCAATATAAAAACCAATAGATTTCAATGAGCCTGCCATATTACCAAATGGCTCTGTACCATGCGTGAGCATATCAATGGTGCTTGATTTGGAGGCTGCAATAGAGGTTAAAATGCTTTTCTCGGTCATATATTTACCCATCGTTTGGAAAGTATACAAACCAAAATCCCAAACGGTATGAATCATGATTAAGGGGAAAATGCTTCTACAAATATAAAAAGCCGTTGCATACATCAAGCCAGGACCAATATTTTGAATACTTTGCCAGAGCATAACATTCTGAAAATCAACCCAGCTGGTCGAATTTTGAATATGGATCAAGCCAAAAACAACACCTGACAAGATCGCTGCCCAGAACCAACCGATTTTAGGACGAGTAGACCCCATGAGAAAACTTCTAAACAAAAGCTCCTCATTGATCCCTACGGCTATAAAAAAAGGCAGGTACGATAAAATTTCTCCGATGGGCTTGGGATTTTTCAACACAAAAATACAGACCAAAAATGAAACGACTATCAAAATCATACCTACCACTGACTGCCCCCAAATAGGTAGAATCCGCCACCACCAACCTAAGATAGGTTTTTGCCAACCCATAAAATTTGGATCGTATTGCCGCGCTCTATAGATAAAAAACAATGCAAAAACAAGATACAAAGGCGTTCTCAGCAAAATAGGGTCATATAAACCCGCCTCTAAATCCAAAGAATGCACAATGTATGCAAAGATTTTTAAACCAAAGAGATATAATACGATCAGCCCAATAGCCTCTCCTATTGGCATATTGGGTTTTACATGTATCTGTTGAGTTGCCATGGATATATTAGCCCTTCTTAACCTTACTGTATAACTGGTGTTCAGCTGTTTCGATCATCATAACTTTTTACCCCTTGAAAAACACTCCTCACATGAGTAACACTATGACAACTACTCTAAAAAATCTTGGTTGGATGATCGGGGCTTTTGCACTTGCCTTGTTTGTCAATATAAGCGCAGATATCCTATCGAATTCTGTTTTTAGTCAACTGTTTTCGTCTCTCCCCAAACCCTACGATATTCTAGCCGAAAACAGTTTGGCAATTATTGTGATCGTGGGATTTTTATACGTTTTCAATCGATTTGCACTACACAATTTACTGCCCGACCTCCTCGACCCTAAAACTCTTCTTACCATTAAGCAGTTTTTATTTTGGATGGTTTGTGGTACTCTCCTCCCCGTGTCAGTCATCGCCTGTTACTTTTTAACTGGAATGGCTACCTTTTCATGGTTAGATGACGCACCTTGGCACGTTGGGATAGCTTTTGCGATCATTATTGCTATGTCGCCAGGCATCATAGAAGAACTTGCATGGCGATATGTCTTTTATGGCATCATTCGAACAAAAATACCTAATAAAATCATATCTTGCCTTATTGCAGGAACTGTTTTTGGCGCTTTGCATTTAAATCAAGTATCCGATGTTACCAGTGGCATCCAACTGATGATCGGTGCTATTGCTGTGTCGATTTTATTTATTACGATCTATGAGGTTACTGGCTCGATTTGGCCTGGCTGCATCGTCCACACACTTTGGGACGCTTCTACAATTCATTACGGTTTGATTTGGGTCAACTTACAAACGGCAACAGAAAAAATACGATATGGATTCGCAGAGATACTCGTCACCACCCAAAACCTCCTCTTAAGCGGTGGAGGTTTTGGTATCGATAGCGGATTGTATGCCATTGTTATGTATATTCTTTTTGCTTGGATCGTTTGGACAATGCGTGACCAGTTCAAAAAAGCCTGACAAGTATTGTTAAACAATATCTCGAGAGCGTAAGGCTACAAAATGCTACCATTATGTTGACTTGTGAGTATTATTTATGTGAACTCTATTGCGATAATAGGTTTTTTTAACGTTTCGATGCCCTATATTTGATATGATAAGTTATTGTTTTTATTATATATCACTTAAAAATAGGGCAACATAGAAATGACGCAACTTAAGTTTGAGGGAACTGAAAATCAGCAAACTTTTCACGGATTTTAAGTTTTTGCACTTTACCTGTCGCCGTATGGGGCAACTCTTCCACAAAAACAATCTCGTCAGGATACCACCATTTAGCGATTTGTCCTTCAAACAAAGCCATAATCTCTTCCTTCGAGACCTCTTTACCAGGTTTTTTGACAACGACCAAAAGAGGTCTTTCATCCCATTTAGGATGTTTAATCGCAATGGCAGCGGCTTGATGGACATTGGGATGCGACATAGCAATGTTTTCTAGATCGATAGATGAAATCCATTCACCTCCTGATTTAATGACATCTTTACTGCGATCGGTTAACATCAAATAACCATCTGCATCAATTTTAGCCACATCACCCGTTGGAAACCAACCATCATCGGTATGTGGATTACCGTTTTCTGGATTAAAATAACTAGAACACACCCAAGGGCCGCGCACCAACAAATCTCCGAAAGCAACACCATCCCAAGGTAAATCTTGGCCTGCATCATCAACAATTTTCATGTCTACGCCAAACAATGCACGCCCTTGTTTACCTAAAATTGCGTATTTTTCCTCTTGGCTCTTATCATCATGTTTTCCTTTGAGTGTACATGTTGATCCGACAGGGCTCATTTCTGTCATTCCCCATGTATGACGCACTTCAATGCCATAGACCTCGTTCATTTCTTTCATCATGGCTGGTGGACAAGATGAGCCACCAATCATCGTGCGTTTTAAGGTCGGTAAAGTCAACTGATGCGCTTTTAGGTAGTCAAGGACACCAAGCCATACCGTCGGCACGCCACCACTAATAGTGACACCTTCACTTTGAAATAACTCCACCAAACTTTTACCATCGAGATCTTTACCTGGCAATACCAGTTTCGCTCCAGCTAGTGGGCAGGCGTATGGCAGGCCCCAAGCATTGGCATGGAACATCGGTACGACGGGTAAAACCACATCACGAGCTGAGATGCACAAAGTGTCTGGCAAACAAACTGCATATGAGTGCAGCACAACTGAACGATTCGAATACAGCACGCCTTTTGGATGTCCTGTAGTCCCAGAACTATAACACATGGAAGATGCTGTGTTTTCATCGAGTTGTGGCCAAATAAACTGATCACTTTCTTGCGCAATGAGACTTTCATAACTTCCTACCCCGGCAATTTTATCTTTCGCTGGCAACAAAGCTGTTTCGTCCCCAAGTAAGAACCAACCTTTGACATTGGGGCACTCTGGGGCAATTTGTGCAACCAAATCAATAAAG